GACTCGCATTCAGTTGTATATTGTTGTCGCAGAGAATGTCCTATCCACCCTCGTAGTCGCAGTAATATACTTTTTAAAATTATAGGTCACTTATCTATCAATCTAAACACTCAAAAGCCCTAATTTCAAAATGATTCCCAAGATCTAAAATAATGTCTTTAGGTCCATAGATGAAAACGTGTTCTACATCCTTGAGAACTTTTGCCGAGGCTAAACACACTTTAGCCCACCTAATGATATCAATGGATCACACCCTCTTCACAAAAGAAGCAGTGTTCTCACATACTCTTCCATAAGTGGGTATGTTGGGAAAGCAGTGCTCCAGGAAAAAGAGGAGCAATCACAAAAATGTTTATTTTACTAACTACTAAAGCTAAGAGCTTTTAGATCCTCTGGTTTGCCCTTGATCAAATAGAGTCAGATGCGAGGACAAGCATCTCCAGATGGGGATGTAGCGAAAGTAAAGATGACCAGATGTTCTTTACAGCATCTGAAACAATGTTGGATCAAAGCTACAATGGCCATAGACAACTCGCCACTATCATCTATAGAATATATAGAATCTACGTCGTTACCCTTCCCTTCCTGAGTCTGTGAAATGCTGGGTGCTATAATAATGACCTCGAGCCTCCAGACAAGTCATTATCAGTATGCATTTAAAAGGCAAGAAGTATTTAATACATATCCTATAAAATATATAGGAAACCCTTTTGAATATTTGATTAGCATATCCTTTCAAATAAAAGGCAAGAAAAACATCTTTGTTTTTTTCTACTTTGAACGCGGGAAGACTTTTACTCTGGGGCATCTGTAATTTGATGTACTAATACCAAATGACACAGACAACTAAAGGTCCATATGGTCATAAGAAACTCCAGACAGACTCCTAAAAACATACTTAGCCTCTTTACAGTATTCAAAGCTTGGCTTTTCTCCATCCATGCAACTCATATTTAAATGCCTAGCCTGTTCATGAGGCTTTAAAGCATCACACAGATGATTCCATGCAGGTAACATATTAAAGACATGTATGACATTTTAAGAAATCATCAGAATAACCAGTGCATGTTTTTAATCGGTAAATACTTATGCACAGACAGTTTGATTCTCATGAAAGAAAGTTAACAACACATGCAGATCACACACTGATTTCACTAAAATACCATATCCACCCAACAATTAAAATTGGAGGATTGACGCTTCAAAGCTCATTAGCTGGACGTGTTCATTTACATTCCGATATTGTTTCTTACCATAAGGTCCCACAAGCTCCAGCAGAGTTTCATGCAATGTGCTTACACGGTTGCCTGAATTTAAGCTGACAAGACAGTGGGCCACAACTTAGAAGAATAATACAGCATGTGGATGACTGGCAGATGCCAAGATCTTCTACAGGGAGCGTTCTTCAAAATAAGAAGGGGTTGCCACAGCGGGAGGGGAATTAGTGGGTTTTCTATGGACTGTAACCAGAACAAAGAGAAATGCTATATGATAAACAGAGTAAGTGGTTCAGCCTGGCAGTAGCTCCAGAGGTAAGATGTTTTATGTTTGGTTTTTGGAATGATTATCTTAAGTTCGAATCTTTTATGCTAAATGACCACTTAATATTTCCTTAGCTCTCCTTTGTTATTTTTTTCATATTTATAGTACTGTAAAGAATACAGTATGCAATTATTTTTAAATGCTGCTTTGAGAAAACTAATCATTTCAAGCCAGCAGTGGGAACATTAAATAGCTTTAGTTACTTAGCATATATGCCGAAGAAACAGGGGGTCATCTGTTACAATAATGATCGTGCCAGAAGTTTGTGACAATGGTCCATATTTTAATGAAATTTAGTACAGATCCAACATCCTTCTCAAATGCAAAAGACTGTTGATATTTACAAAGGTTATTACTATGCTTTTATACATCAAAGGCCCAGAAAATGAAGCCACAAGGGAGTATTTAGAATTTTACTGAAAGCCACATAATTAATTTCATATTGATGTTCAATCCAATGTCAATAGAAGCAGATCCTTCATCCTAATGACAAGGCTCTATTCCAATAATTAGTTCTTCTTTCTATTAAGACATTATCAGTAATAGCTTTAAATGCAGGGCTATTTATTTGCGGACTATAGCTCAGTGAGTACTGTTGCCAAGGGACTCTAATCATTGCTCAACCATTAATAAAGCACTTATATTAGGTTATCAAGATGCACTCTTTGGTGCCATCTGAACACAGCAATGAAGAGAATTATCAGAGCAGGTAATTGACGGAGGTGAACAAAATTTAAATGGTGGAGGACACCGCCAAAACCCAAGGTCATACTTCTTCAGTTAATAAGAAATCACTCTCACATACAGGGCCTTAAGGTGTACCAATGCATTAACCACTCCATTACTGAATCTTTTATTACTGATCTGCTGTAACATGCATAAAAGTATTTGTCTTGAAGTCTGAAAAGAGAGCAAATCTTGGCCCAACACCTTACTACATGTGAGAGTGTTTAACTGAGTTCAGCTCACCTTAAGGCCCCATATTCCTTTTCTGTACCAACGGGTTTATCTTTATTGCGGTATTATTCTTTCTTATGCTTAGCTACGCCCCATGTTTTGTTGCAGTAAATCAAGATAAACCTAAAAGCAATTGTTAATACTATTTTGCCTAACTATCTATGAGATGATTATTTAAGACATAATCTTGATTTCTTGCAACAGGACTCTTCTTTGGTTTTATTTTCCCAGTAACTAGCGCAGGGTCCATCACAAAACGCTATTGTTGGATGATATAGAGCATGGTATCACTGAGGATGTTCATATCTGAAGCATTGCTAAGTCCTACAGTCTCTGCTTCTGAAATAGTGACTGGCTTTCTTCCCTTAATTTCTACCATCAACAGCTGAGCCCAAGCTCCTCCCCTGGACCATTGCAATGCCTACTTGAGACTTCTTCCATTTTTTTTTCTCTTCTTCATACAGGTTTCCATTCAAACTGTAAATAAATCTTAACTACAATGCAGGGTTTCTCATGATCCTAAGGAAGAATTGTCCCTAATGTGAAGCAGGTAAATGGTACAGCACCTAAGGCTGAAGATGTCAGTTTGGTTTGGTCCCTGGAACCCACACTAGGTAGAAAAAGAGCTAATCCTGCCAGCTGTCCCATCTTACGCTCTGACACACATGCAACCACATAAACAAGCAAACACAAAAAATAAAATTAAACTCAAAAAATACATATCCCACATGTGGTATATGGAGGTCTTTAAAATCTGCCTATCAGCTTTAATATAAAGCCATCTTCCTATCTCATCCTTGATGTGGGAGGTCCTTCTGTCTATGTATTGCTTTTTTTTTTGGTTAATGAATAAAGAAACTGGCTTGGGCAGATAGGGAAGAGTAGAGCTAGTGGGGAAATCTAAACTGAATGCTGGGAGAAAGAAGGCAGGGTCAGACAGAGAGAAGCCATGTAGTCCAGCCGGAGACAGATGACAGAACTTTACCGGGTAAGCCACAGCCTCATGGTGATACACAGATTAATAGACATGGGTTAAATTAAGATATATGAGTTAACCAGAAATATAATTAAGCTATTGGCCAAACAGTATCACAAATAATATGATTTCTGTGTGATTATTTTGGGGCTGAGTAGGTGGAAACAAACAAGCAGCCTCCTATTACATACCCTTTTGCACACATACACACACACAGCTTTTCTTTCCGGCCCTTGGATGATATTTTTCTGTATATTGGCCCACCTTCATTCCAAGAACTTTATATCTCCTATTCCCCCTTCATATATCAGCTATGTTGCCTCCCCAGGGGAGACTTCTCTTGTCTCCCAATGTCCTAACAGAGAACCACAGCCTTCCTCTGTGGTTCTACCCATTTGTAGATGTTAATTTGTAAATGTAAATTTTTATGATATCCTTTATTGAATGCATTTCCCCAACTCTAGTATAAAAGCAAACTTACTTTCACCTCCCTGTATTCTGGTACTTAAAGGGTATTCAAAATTTTGCTCAATGAGTGATCTTCATCAACATTAATATTTTGGAGGAACCATTAACATGGATCTCCATAGTACTCTGAAATAACTTTGAAAAACATGATAATTTTTTTTTAAAAAAAAAGTACAGAGCACTCGCTGACATATCAAGTCAAAATAAACAGAAGCACAACTGTTAGAAAGATCGAAAACATTTTTTTCTCAGCTTGAAAATATGTTTTCCTCATTTCTTTCAAGTTGGGAACATATGCCAATTTCATAGCAGAAAACTTCTTTCCTAGACCAAAGGTGATGAGAAGGGCTTTGCAAGAGAAATTGAAGCACAGCACAATATTGCAAGTATCCATGAAACACAATCAACCACACATCGAAAGGGCTTTAAAAGCATGATAGTTTAATCAGAATATTTTTTAGTATAGTTCTTAGTTCTTACTGAATGACGATCTAGCCATCTGCAGTGTACGCCTGAGTGGCAAGAAGCTGTGCTACAATTTACTTTTAAAAGACCTAAATTCACTTAAGGAAACCAGAAGTAGGTTTTACTGCCCCTTCATTAGATGGCAATATTCAACTGAGTGAGTATTTAGTGCTAAATTTTCCATGTGCAATTTTAGAATTATATATTACTTATCAACTGCGGGTTTTTAGGCAAGCAAAGGGGCTAGGATTTTATGTTAAAGGTTCAGTCTTACAATGTGAAGAAAGGCACCAGACGTTGCACAAATCCGATGATATTGTCAGTGAAAGTAGACGGTAAGCATCAGAAGACACCTTTTGAGGACTGACTTTCAGAAGTGGCCTTCCATGGATCTAGCACTGGCATTGTTAGTCAGCTTCTGGCTAGGACTCACTCACTCCCTTTCCAGGTAACGATAAATGTTGGGAAACACAGGTCCTAGCACACGGGGACCAGGGTAGATGCAGAGACCACGGGTCCCAGAAACAAGCTGTTTCTTCTGTCACTCCAACTTCCCGCTGCAGACTCCAAAAGGGACGGAGGACTGACTCACCTGGGGAGAGACCTCAGCTGGAGAGGCTCCGGGGAGCAACGCAGTGCCCACCAGGCTCTGCAGAGCTGGTCCCCGCACGCCGGTCACCGCTTGGCCTGGTCGCACTCGCGCCCGAATCTTCTCTCCATTCAGAGTACAGCCTGGCCCTTCCACCATCTCTGCAGACCGTCCTGAGCTCCTGATAATTACAGGGCCTGATTGAAAAACAACCAAGCAACTTCACTTCCTGGATCACAGACTGGACTGGGCGGCAGGAAAGTTCAAATCTCCCGCGCTTCCCGCCCCGCCTAGGGCACTAAACCACGCCCACAGGAAACCAAGCCCCGCCTATCGGCGTCCACGCCCCTCCCAGGAATGCCAACTCCGCCCAGAAACCTTGCTGGCCACAACACTTCCCGCCCTGCGGGTCACTCAAGTCCTTCAGTGCGAGGTGAAAGGAGTCCAAAGACCAAGCAAGGTTAATGAAAGAACGCGGGGAATTGGGATGAACACTTAGAAACTCTGATCCAGCTACTCAGCCCATGCACTTTTCCTAAACCAACCTCTAAAGCCGCCCTAAAATGCGAAGTTATTGAAGACAGTCTGGAGACCTATGCTTGATAAGCCTTATTCTAACCTGAGAGGCAGGACAAAAGCTGAGAAGCAGTTTTAGGAAACTAACAATATTGTCTGTATTAAAGAGTACGTCACTTTCAGATAACTAAGTATGCTGAGCCCAAAACCATACATCCATTTTGTTTTGACTTGTACTGAATGAATGTTAATTTGACCTTTTCCCCTTTTTATGAAAAAGGACTCTATAAATTTAAGGGGAATACACGATTTTTCAAACCACCCACAACGCTGAGCAAAAAACAAATCTGCACATATGATGGTAGTTGATCCACGAAGTCTGTAGGTTACAAAGAACTTTCTCCTTTTTGCACTGAAATATAGCACACCAAAACATCAGTTTGTGGTTTCATACAAGCCCAGCGCTGTACTGCAATTAAAGGGGAAACAGAAACGTGAAGGCTTGTGGTGGCTTTCTAGTGCGTACTGATGAGGAGCTGCACTGGTCTACATGGGACTCAGGACTGCCTCAACCATGGTTAACTCAAATTCAGTTCTGATCTCTGTGGATGGGGAGAAGTCTGAAACAGCCTTTTCACTTTTCACCTTTGTATTGTTTACTGTTAGCTAATGAATGACATCATTTCTTATTTAAAAATTTCTGTGAGTCATAAGTTGGCAAAGTCTAGCTGGATGGTTCTGCCTCCACAGTTCTCTAAAGGTTGCAAGGTAAGTTTGATTGATTGTAGCTAGGAGATCCTCTTCCAACAGGGTTCATTTACACTTTGCTATAAACATTCCTTATTATTTCCAGTTCTGAGAAAACACTGTAAAGTGAAGGAATTCAGTTCTGCTTTCTGTTCCCAGAGTACACTTTGTACTTTCTGTGTCTTCTTTTCTGGAGCAAGTCTAACTTTTTATTCATCTAATTTTATTTATTTATTTAATCAGATGGTTAGAACCAATATATGACTATATAAAAAGGGGATTATTAGATTGGCTTACACATGCAGACTAGACAGTCCAACAATGGCTGTCTTCACACTGAAGCTTTTCAGGTCATAATGAAGCTTAGCAGTCCCAGTCTGAGGCTGAAGACCTAGGGGAGTCCTAAAGAGTGACTGGTCTTTGGTCACTGGAAGCTCAAAGAAACTAGGTTATGATGTCAATGAAGTCTGGCAGCAGCAGTGGCAATGACAGCAACAGAGTAGATGAATTGCCCAACAAGCCGTGAAGTGAAACTGCCAAAAAGCAAAAGCATGTGTCTTGGATTTTCTTACATATGGGCCACTGGAAGGCATTGTAGACATTTATGGTGAATCTTCCCATTTCAAATAACCTAAACAAAAAAAAGAAAATCTTTCATAGGTGGTTAGAGAGGATTATCTCATGGGTGATTCTAGATTTTGTCAAGTTGGCGATCAAAATTAACCATTTATTTATCTGGGATGAAGTGCTGCTGTGTAGCCCAGATTGGCCCCATCTGTTGATGATCCTTCTTTAAGGCCTCCTGAGAGCTACAGTCATGCTCCACAAATGCATGGATAGTCCAATGGGTTAGTACTTTTTTCTTTTTAAAACTTTTCTCTTCACCTTAGTTAACTGAAATTCAAATCTCAAAAATAGTTCTCCTCTTGAAATCTTTCCAGATACGGTTAGAATAAGTCTCTTGTGCTATGTAGCTGGCCCTTCAGAGACTTCAGCAAAACACCTTTATATTAATTTGTGTGTGTACTGGACTTTCACGAGAATAGATTCTCATTCCTTAGTGACAAGTGGATATCTTGCTTGCTATATTTCTTTGCATTGCCATAGGATGCTCTTTGGCACATAATATACAATCCGCAAACATGGAATTTTAAAAAAATTGGGATTTCTTTCCCCAAAATACCTCTCATATTAACTACATCTTTTTTTATATATTTAATATTATTTATTTGACTTAAAATTTTATGTTTTCAGAAGCTATTTCTAGAATAAATGTTATTGAGTTTGGTTAATATATAAAATTATCCTTCAATACACTTGCTCTAGAAGGGCAGCAAACCCGTACCTTGGTTATTCCATGGGACACGAGACCTACAATAAAAACAGCCATTTGTATATAACATTTTAGATGTATTCGTCTTCATAGTAACTTTGTATCATAGTCAGAATAGATGTCATTAATATTTTACAGGTGTGATGATTAATTTTGATTGTTCACTTGAATGGATTAAGAACTGCCTCGGAGATTAGGAAAGTTTAACTCTAAATGTGTCTGTGAGGGTCTGTGCAGATCCTGGGGCAATGATCTAATCAGTATCTTAATTCATTAATGGAGTCAAAAATCTAGTAGACTGGTGGGAAGTGATGGAACGATAAAAATTAGGGTCTGACTGGAATCAGGAATTCATAGACAGCATGTTTTTCTTTATATACATACACACACATATATATATATATATATAATTTACAATTCATTTTATATATCAACTACAGTTGCCCCTTCCTCCAATAGTATGTTGTTCAAGTCATATCTTGCCCTGATCTTCTTCTGGCCCACGCTACTTGCTGCCCTCATCAAAGTAAAAGTAAAAGTGTGTCCTCCATCATGTCCTGCCACCATGACGCTCTGCTCTACATGAGGTCAAGCAATCATGGATTTTGAACCCTTTAAAGCAACAGGAGTGGGAGGCTTAAGACACGGCTCACTGTTTAAGAGCATTTGTTGTTTTTGGAAGACCCAGGTTTGATTCTCAGCACCGACATGAAACCTCACAATCCATAACCTAATTCCAGATCTGATCATTTTCTTACCTCTCTGGGCATCAGGCCTTCATGTGCTGCACACATACACATCCAAATAATACTCATACATATAAAATGAAATAAATGAACCTATTTAAAAAAAACAGTGATCCAAAATAAATCTGACATCCCCCAAGTTGTTTGGTTGGGTACTGTGTTGTACCAACACAAAGTGTAGCTAATGTAAGTGTGGGCAAATATAGAAACAGAAATCAAATTTTCTTATTGTTTTTCTTACCCAGAGTCTCACTTAGAGCACAGTCATTGATCAAATAAAAAATATCTGACATATGTGTAAAGATAGTTTATTTTATGACCTCTAGCAGTCAGGGTACAACACCTATACAGTATTGGTTTAAAGAGTTTTTAATGGCATAAGAATTTGCTAGAAAGAGAGAAATGAAAGACAAATATAAATGTCAAATTGACTTTGAAGTGCTTCATTACCAAGGGGTTGAAAAGCACACTTGCTTGACACTGGGTGTGGTGACACATGACTATAATCCCAGTCCTAAAGAATCCAAGGCAAGAGAATTGTGAATTGAAGATCAGGCCAGTGAAAACTACACAGTAAGTTTGAAGCCAGTCTCAACTACATCTCAAAAAGCAGAACAAACAAAGAGGCAAACAAAAGTATTCTCTGTGAAGTCTGAAGCCGGACTCTGAGGTAGACAATTCTGTAGTTGAACCCTTGCATGCAAAGACATGATCAAAGTGTGGATACAGATAATGCCATTTTTTAAAAAAAAGCAATGAGAGAAAAAGAGGTCTCTCATGTTACTCTATATACAAAAGAAAAATATAGATCGTGGCGAATTCATTGAAGGAAAATGCTCAAAAAGACCTGGGAATTGAGTGGCCTTAAGAAGTGGAGCTCCAGGAAAGTACAAAGGTCAACTAACGGAATTCATTACAAGGCTAAAAGGAAAAAAGATGTGATATACTTGAGCAATGGTGATTAATGCAATCATATCAATCAGGGACAAGACGGACAACACTGGAAAGATTACTGGTAAGTGTATTATAGAGAATTTAGGATAATGAAAAGTTAAATTCACGAGGGAGGTAATAGACAGTGAAGGTTTTGAGCAGGTATAATGGTCCTTACCTCACAAATTCCAATACTTCCTTAATCTGAACTCCTGACTTACTAAATTCACCAAACATAAACCCAAAACAGCATTCATATGTGAGATGGATTGAAACAATAGTCTGGACATGGGCTTTCTTATTCTTCCTTAAGGACAGTTGCAAGTGACAGGTGGGTTTCTTTGCTGTGTTATGCTATATTTATAATGGTTTGAAGAATTTTTAAGGCAAAGTTTCCCCTAATAATTATCCCGTGTTCTCATTGATTCTAAGCATCAAGTGATGGCCAAAAGGTTGCAAAAGCATTTGCCTTTCCTGTTCACCATGATCCCTCACGGCTGGAACTGCAGCCGTCATTTACAAGTGAAGGAAATGAGACTCACAGAGGCCCTGTAACTCGTGCAAGGTTATACCCTTGGGATTGACTAGGCAAACTATAGCCCACCAAACAGTTTCAACAACATCAATTATATCACAACCAGATATTTTTATCAACAACTCGAATTGTTTAGTGGAAAAGAACAAAATCTTTTCTCGGCCTCCCATGGAAATTAAAGACAACTTAAAAAATTCTCTGTTGTTGCACTAATTCTAATTGGTCTTAATTAAGAAAACCCAGAGTCAGATGTTAAGGGGGTGAAAGCTGAAGGATCAGAGAAGCAGCGTGGCCAACAACTAGAGAGACCTTTTACCTCTACCAATGCTCAGACTGAAGGGACAATCCTGTCCTCAGACTGTCTGTCTCCTCAGACTGCTTCCTGCCCGGGTGATAAGCAGGCTGCACTGAGCTCCTGTCTCCTCCCACCTTATATTTCT